AACCCGGCGAAGAACTGTTTCAGCCATGATTGTCAAAAATCCAGCGTCAAGCCTAATATGTGCAAATCCCCATAAAGTGGGGTTTAGGCAAACAAAAACAGAGCAACTGAAGGTGTCAGCTAGATGCTGTTTGCCATATATAAGAGAAACCAGTTAGAGATAAACCAGCAGTCATGAAGTACCTCTTTCCTCCCTCTGCGGCAGTTTCTAAAATGAGGACAACCACTTCCAAAAAGGAGATTAAAGATCTCGGCTTTCGCTTATGGAGGCAATTTAGTGAATGTGATCGTCCTGGTAGCATTCTTGAACATCCTGTGGTTTGTGTTTCAGATTTAGAGTCCTGCTCACCACACTGGACATGGTCAGTTTCTTCATGCCTTCATGCCCTGTCATCCGATGTTTGTCACAAAAACATTTCCTGAAACGGGAGTCAGTCGACTTCTTACCCGACGAATCACTAAACAGGCGCATGCAGGCCCAACTGAAATAGCAAACAAGAAGAGACGTGCGATGGGGAGAAAAACAAGACAGCGATCGCACTAACAGGTCTCCAGTCCAGTCCCCGTTCTCTCAGTGACGTTCAGATGTGGGTGGCATGTTGACTTTTCAGCCGTAGTTCTGTTGATGCTGCTGTGTCAAAATGCATTTTATCCAGATTCAATAGGACTCGACAGTCTGCTTAATCCCATCTGAGTTACAGCGTCATAAAGGTGAAGAAAGAGGACGAAGGGAAAATGTATGTGTGTGTAAGACGGTGAGTGTCGCTGGGAGGAGGGGTAGGGAGGACTGCTTCCCCTCATCCTATCACAAAAAGGCAGGCTTTGAGACGGGGCCCAATCATTACCGCGACTAGAGCTCGTTTCCATGGAGATGACGCTGGAATGATGTTGCCTGCCTATTGATCGTTCAAGAGGCAGTGCACACTGCAACACAGCGGAGGCTGCAGGAGCAGGCAGGGGAACAAGTGTGTCCAGTCCAGACTCATTTGAATGTTTTACTGCAGATGTCTGACAAGTTGATGAATGTTTTAGTAATTTATCCTTAGAAAAGGGACATTTACAAAGGTAAGCTGTAGTCTGCTGCTACAAAAGATAAACTACATCACACTTAATTCTGGTTAACTAATTAACCTGACATTTAGCCCTACTCTGACTAATTATTAAGAAAGGAAAAGTAGTACAGCAGCTTCATAAATCCCCTTAACGAGCAGTGATCTGCTCATCTACTAGAGAAGGGGAGGATTGGTTTTTAAATGATTTTTGATGGTGTCTGGTTAAGTTCTTACAAACTGTTAATCCTTTAAAAACACAAAGCTTTCTAATTCTATCTATGTAAACCATTTTAACAGAGCTTTGTGTAACAGCTGCAGTTACTTATTGAAATTCTAAGGAGAAAACAAATATCACTGAGAGCAATTATAACCTTTAAATTCCAACGTGAAACCTTCGAGGAGGGAACCAAGATCACAGCTGTGCCCGCCTTTGCGCAATGTCTGTCTTCTATATTTTAAATAGGCAGCAGCAGGACAAGACTTCACAGTCATAGGAACCAGCTATATCATATCCTGCCAACAACATTTGTATTGATGAAAACCTGGTTGAGACAGGCAGCAGCACATTAAACAAGTTACAGACCCAAAACACAGATCAACATGTCCTGAGTCACAGAACAGAAAGTCATCAGTCAAAGCATCTACACCCTGAGGCATCTTCCACCAACACCTTCAATCTACTTTTAAAAAGATTTACAGAGACCAGCTCCCCCAGATCCAGATCAATCTGCTGCAGGAGCAGCGTTCCTGAAACTCCTGTTCCTCATCTCAAGACGCACTTTGGGAAAAAAACAACAAGAATGGCAACCAAGAAGGAAGCATGAAACTGTAGCTGAGTAAGTGTAACCTTAAACATTAAGCATTGATTGCTAAAAGCATAGAAGAGGGGAACTGTATTAAATGTGGATGGGTCATGGGATGGCCGACAGCTACACTACTGAATAAGGTCAGCGTGGTACACACAACGATAGGGACCGGATCAGTGAATCTCTCATGGCAAGTTGAGAAAAGTTCAACTATAATCAACTCAAGTGGAAAAAGAAGTCATGTTGACACGAGCAGCAGCACTCTGGCCTTGCAGGTCTTAATCTGCTGATGTGATAGTGTTTCAGTCCTTCATCTCGCTTCCAGCGTATTTTTCACAATTTACAGCATGTTAAATGTATTTCTGATACTTTGTGCCCGCTCTGTTGTACTCACAAAACCTGAGGCTTGAAAGTGGGGTTGTTTTCTTTAAGTGGAGCAGTCTACCTGCTGTTCCTTTAAGGGCGCGGTCACACTGGTCATCTGTACCGTGCCATACTCAAGCACGATTGGCCCCCCGCTGCGCCATTCCCTCGCTGGCCAGCACGGCCCGCAGTCACACAGGACTAGCTTAAGCACGATTACCTCTACATAACGTCCTAATACAATGCATGCATGCTTTATGTTATTATGAAGCGTGCTCAGTTGACAAACAGGTGGAGAGAGAGAGAGAGAGAGAGAGAGAGAGAGAGAGAGAGAGAGAGAGAGAGATTTTAATCAGACCCAGCCATAAATAAATTAAAAAATAAATTAGACGGGCGGCCGAGTCCGTGCCCGCACATCGGAGAACACAGAGAACATGACAACTACTTTGTGTCTTATATTGTATCATTTAGTCAGATACAGCCATGAAACTCTGGATTTCTCCATAATGAAGGCTGTCAGCGTTGCGTACCCGCGTGCTTGTGCACCTCTCCGAAGTGTGCCAAAGCCAAGGAAGTGTACTGTGCCTGAGCACGATACGGAGCGGTCACACTGGTCAAACTAACTGGACTTTAGCGTTGAAGCGTGCTTGGGCACGGTACAGATGGCCAGTGTGCCCCCGCCCTAACGGTCACAACACTTAACGCTGTGTGCAAGTTAAAAACAGACGTTTCGCTTTCATTTTTCTTTCTAGTCATTTTTCTGCTATGGTAGGTGGAGTCAACACTAACACCTTGAAAATCTTCCTAAAGTTTCCGTGCTGAGCGTCATGTGTGAACACAAACAGCTGACTGTTTCTCTCTTCACCCGGAGTTTCTCCTCCAGCCTCCTCGTATTTATTCTGCAGAAAGTCAGAGTGAGCTGATGTGAGAACACAGCAGGATATAATCAGGAGAATTCACCTGGAGCGAGTGGGAGGGGGTGGTGACGTTTATTCCCTGTGATCACTGCACGACCATAGACTGTCTGCACGCCACCTCTACCATCTCTGTGCTCTAATGAACCTGCTGCATTATGTTTCCTGTTCTCCAGTATGTTCTTCTCCACTCTTTAGTTCATGTTGTGACTGTTATTAAGGCAAATATTCTAGTTATGACTTTGTATTGCGGCTTTGTCTGCCACTTCCACATCGTTCTGTAAACGTCTGCATCAGCTCCTTTGATCATTTAAATTTAGCCTCTGACCTAGAACAGAGTACGACAGCTAAACATCCAACAAACAACAAAATAAGCTCACATGACCACCGAGCATACAACAATGGAGTGCATGTCGTCATCAGTACCATGTCTGTCACAAAGAGTTTTACTCATCCATCAGTTCAGTGGTATTAACTTAGTATCATACTGACATGGGCTAAATCAAAGGAACTTGAAGTTAGCTGACTGTTTGTCACAGAAACCGTCACTCAGATACAAAGATGATTTATAAACAGCTGATGTATCACTCTGCAGTCAGAAAGAAGCCTGGATTCTTTTGTTTCTCGGTTCATGAAATCAGGATACGATGTTTACATGCACAAACACACTAACGGCATACTTTTAAAAAAGTGTAAACACACTCTTTGAAAACCTTTAAAACATATATAATTTTCTTGCAGGTTTCTTAATAATCCGGGGGCTTTACATACACAAGGACGTCTAATATGCATCCATGACTGATGTTTGGCAAGTGGGCACTCCTGTTGACGCTTTGATGAATAATTCATCTCCTTATATAAAAACAGGATCCAAAATTTAAGAGACCGAATCACACTGACCCACTTCTGCCACTCCAACAAGAGGCATAAACAGATCTACCCACACCCACACATGCCCCCCTCCACTCACAGTCTGCATAGTTGTTCTCCCTCTCCTTCTCGTCTGCCTTCACCAGGCTTAAAATCCTGTTTTACATAGCTCGTCTAAAAATATCTATCTAAAAATAAAATACACTTTAAAAAAAAATGTTGGCATTTACAAGCCAATCTCAAATAGAAGAGTTATTCAATAGTAAAATAAACCGTCCCTACTTGATTAAGCCACTTCAAATATAAATACTACTAACAATATGACTTATTATTATGTATTATTATTATTATTATTATTATTATGTTATCTACTTTTGTTAAAGTTTAAACTTTTATATGATGACTAAGTTGTCCTTTTTGTTGATTAAACACAAGATACACAGTTGTTGGCGTTATACCAGTTAGTGGTTTCCTGCTGCTCTGAACGAGACGTTTATGAGAACTTGGAGACGCATTAGAGCAAAGCATGGAGCAAAGTCGTAGGACACGACCTCCCCGGCAGCTCTTTCAAAGACACACCCACCCAGGAAGCTTCCACAGAGCTGGTCATGGCAAATCAGAAAAAAGTGGGCCATTTAAAGGGGGCTTTAAAGAGACTGCAGTCAAAACGAAGCATTTCAGGCAGGAGGGTATTCAAGGACGCCAGTACTAGATACATACGTTTTTGAGCCACACATCTCGCCACTAAAAAGGTGTTCCAGAGTGACATAATTAATGACGAAAGTGAGTTTAATGGATCTCCTTTAAGTAAACAAGGCACATGGAGTAACTGTGGGATACATTTGTACAACACAAATCCACCTGCGTTCAGGATTCTGTATGATTATGGAGCAAGACCACAAAAATTCTCAAGTGCATACTGGTGCAGTTTCTATATTAACTGGAAATGCCAGCAGTAAAAGCTCTCTGTGGAATTCAAAATATGAAACAGCTTACCTCCATGTTGCTGTCCATGCATTTGGAGGGCGGTGACCTGTGTGACCCAGAGGACTCAGAACAGTGGGGGGGCTGGCCGTCCCAGCCTGCATGGGGAGTGTCGGGTATGTGACAACTTTTCAGAGAGCTGCTCTGACAAGTGTCCAGGACTGCAGCGGTGGTGCAGGGGTCAGCTGCACTGGGCGCCCTCCCTAAAGGCTGCCTTCGCTGATCATGTTTTGTTTTCTTCTTTGGAAAGTTTGAAACACTCTGGGATTTTTGCTGCCGAGCCCTGGACCAGGTCAGGAGAGGCTTTTTCTGGAGAAGATTACAGCTCTCTGCCTGAGTTGGTGTTCTGGAGTGTCCTGCTCTTTTCTTCCCCTGCAACAGTCGAACATGGGCCTCTAGCAGGTGGCAGAGAAAGATGGCCTTCTGTAGCTCAAATTCCTGCCTGTGATGCAATTTACGTCCTGCCTGCTCATTGTTTATCTTCTCACACAGCAACAGCAGCAACTGCTCCAGCTTTGAGTATGTTTCTCCACCGTACAAACAAAAAGCTTCTTTCCCTGTGGACTCAGTGTACTGTCCAATGTCTTGAACATTCAGCTCTTTAGCCAGCAGACTCCAGAGTCTGTTAGAGTGCCCATACGTTTGGCACCCTCGCTGAACCGTCAGATCCCTCACAACCCTCTGCTGTTCCTTCTCTGCTTCTTCCCGTAGGTGCCTGAGCTCCACACAGAAGAGTCCATGGGCCTGCTGTGTTCGGATTTTCTCTAGCTCCAGTTCAGCACGCAGCCTCTCTAGCTCTCGTCCAAAGTCGGTCTGGCCCTGGCATGGTTTCTTGGATGACAGTGCCAGAGGGTTATCCCTGTCTTTCCTCATGATGCCACACAGTCACAGCACAACATGCAAGGAATGGCTGGACATATGCATATCGAAAAAAGTTATGCAAGGGTGTGATGGGTGTTTAGAAGACATGCAGCATGCAATTATCACACCAGGTCACTGGAAAGATGAGACAGTAGCGGGTGGGAGAAAAAGTGAGAAATGGTCAGTTTTTTTTGCCAAAATATTAGATGAATGTAGTCACAATGAATGCAGTATTTCCAGCAGAGCCTGACCGATTTATTGACTTGCTTACATTATCTTCAAAAATGAGTCTATCATAGATATTTAATATGAAGAGATCAATGTTCGGGATGATCTGGACTGTTAAATGTTCTTTCACAAAAGTTATTTATTTGAAAAAATAAAAAAAATAAAAAAAATAATAATAATAATAATTTTTCATTACAAGTGAAAAATTCAATGTTTCAGCCACCTTTTTGGTAACCAGTTATAGTTTCACATTCTCAGTCTCATCGGTCTGGCCTCAGTTTTGAACAGATGGTTAATGAGTTGATCATATCTGTTAGATAGATGATTTAGAAGAAAAAGGAGAAGAGGGAAGTCACTAGGGCTGGGAGATATCAGGACAAAAAAAATCATATCTCGAAATGTTTTTGCTGAGTGGTGATACACAATATAGCTTCATATTTTTTTCTGGAGAGAAATGACAAAGGTTACACAGGCACGGGGCGCGCTGGTGGCGCAATGGTTAGGCCGCGCGTCCCATGTATTGAGGCTGTCGTCTCGAGCGGGAGGCCCGGGTTCGCTTCCACCCGTGGCCTCTCTCCGCATGTCATTCTCCACTCTCTCTCTCCCTGGTTTCCGACTCTATCCACTGTCCTATCTCTGCATTAAAAGGCACAAAAAGCCCCAAAATAAATCTTTAAAAAAAAAAGGTTACACAGGCACTTTTATTCACAGCCTGCTGCACAGTGTCCAAAAGTACATAACATTGTATTTTGGTATTTAGGCGATTTTAAAGTTTCTATCAGAGAGAGAGAGAGAGAGAGGTGGAGCAGAGTGAAGAGCCACGATATTTTCACCTCTGTGAAGTTTCACCTTCAATCTGAATGTGTCTCTTCAGTAATAGTAACTAGTAACAGGCGTTAGAGGCCAGACGGTATCAGAGGACAGCCAGCTGGGGAGCGCAGCGCTGTGTGTGCATGTTAGACTGTCTTTATGTGGAGCTCATGCTGTCCTGCGCTTCCTCAATGCCATAACGTGATTTCACAGACTGGGACACCAAGAAAACGCTGTTGCAGAATCAATATGAATGTACAGAGACATGATGACGGATGAGCTTAGTGATGGCACTTTTGCAAGAAAAAAAAAGCAGTCTGAAAAGATCTATTGAGAGGAGAAGTAGGTCAACAAGCGGCTTTACGGAAGAAACATACAACTTCATTTGATAGTGCAACATGAACTATATTGATAAAAACAATATTGTCCTACACTACATCTCGTTTGAAAATACATCGATAGATCTAAAAATTCTGATTTATTTCCCAGCCCTAGAAGTCCCCTGAAAGATTGGTCAGGAGCGCAGCAGTCACAATGAACACACAGATGAAGATGCGTGACCTCTTCACAAAAATTTGAAAAGAATTAGTCTGTGGAAACTCTCTCTAAGGTGAAGCCATATCTGCTAGAGAAAATACATCATTGTAAAGTGTAGGTAACTAGTCTGTACACAGGCAAAGCAAATCAAGACCGAATTTATACCTGGTATTCTGATATCCACACCTGACTTTATGGACATATGATGCAGATGAATGGCAGAACTAACGCTCTTTATAAACAGATGAGAACATATTTATGTCTTTATTCACTCTGTAGATACCATTAATGGAGCTTAGGAGCAGCCAGCTGAGGACGCAACAAGTGAACTGCTGAACCTGTTCAAATGTACTGTTTCTCTGCTCCCTTTGACCCCTGTAATATTTACAGTCTATGGTTTGAACTTTGACCCCTGTAATATTTACAGTCTATGGTTTGAACTTTGAACCCTGTAATATTAGAACTTTAAACCCTGTAATATTTACAGTCTATGGTTTGAACTTTGACCCCTGCAATATTTACAGTCTATGGTTTGAACTTTGACCCCTGTAATATTTACAGTCTATGGCTTGAACTTTGACCCCTGTAATATTTACAGTCTATGGCTTGAACTTTGACCCCTGTAATATTTACAGTCTATGGTTTGAACTTTGACCCCTGTAATATTTACAGTCTATGGTTTGAACTTTGAACCCACATAACACTAGGTGGGCTCCGGGTCATATTGCAGAGGATGGGGGCTCTTGTTAATGGCTAATTAACTAGGCTAAATTAGCCAGCCTTTACGTGGTGAAGCAGCTGCTCTAAATGTTCTACACTGAGTTAATTAACTTGAACATCAGGTAACATGAGTACAGCGTGTAAAGGTTTGCTAACACATCATGTCAGCGAGTTTTAAGCTAACGGTTAACGGTTAAGTTTCCTAGCAACAGCTCGTGAAACTCACCTGTTAGCGGACTCACTCAAAGCTTCATATTTAACGTTTCATCAGTCAAGTCTTCCTCTTTTAACCGAGCTACTTTCACGAACAGTTTAACAAAATGTGTACCGACACCGAGAGGGGTAACGTTAGTAGTTTAAGGGTCCACAGAGCCACGCAGGACGGGGTTTGTTTATCTGTCAGTCAGCGGTGTCACATTCACAGACACGTCACAAGCAGCGTCATTGTGCCGCGTTCAGGGCCGCTCCGACTCCGCAGTTACCCTTGCTGTAATACTGTGCAACTTGTAACGCAATTATATAGCCTATATAATTTTAGGCCACCCATTTTGGGGAGATATCTTAATCTTATATTTTAGCTATAATTTAAAAAAATTACTGTAAGAGTAATAATCAATAATATTTGAAGGCCAAACATAATCCTTTGCTCATGCCACACATAATTCCTTACCCCCTACGCACACTAGCGACTAGCCTCAGGTAACAGATTGTGACACACTAAATTTAAAGTGATAATTCTTTGTTAGGAAGCAGAAGAAAATGATTCCCTCTCTTACTTAATAAATGTCAGGAAAAACCAACAGGTCAATAATGCTTACGTTTTTTATTTAGATAAATATGATTTTTGATGATCAGCTGAAATAAAATGTAATCACCGTACAAAGATACATCAAAGAAAATAATGAATGTTTTCCAAATAATTATGAATTAGTCACTTTTTTATATTAAGTTTACATCATAACTATTATCATTATATTGCAAAGTAAAGGTTGGATTAAAAGTTCCGTCTTTCTCGGTTTTATTGAGCTTTTTTTATTCACGCTTTCCATATTTACAATATCAACTAGATACCCTGAAGGCAACACAAAACCAAACAGACTTTAAAGATACTGATGACCACTAGTGGCGAAAGGCTAGTACTGAAGAAGTGTTAACCCTGATAAGAGGCATCATTGAATTTAATCTTCTTCTTTTTTTTACCATAAATGTTTAATTTTAGACTCAGAAAAGTTCATTTATCCAAATTCAGTTCCACGGTCCGCTCAGACCATGCATACATTTACAAACAAAAACAAGATGGCGTCAGAGACAACAAACAAATCGGCCCTGTAGAAACTTTTTGTTCATTTAAGAGCGGTCTTAAAACATTGCTTTTCTCTTGTGCATTTCATTGCTAGTTCATCTTTGCGTGTGTGTGTGTGTGTGTGTGTGTGTGTGTGTGTGTGTGTGTGTGTGTGTGTACATATGGTTGGTGCATGATTCCTGTGTGCACTCTATAGAAACAGGTGTATGTATGTGTGTGTTGTATGGGATGGTGCATGCTTCTTTTGCAAATGTGTTTTGTTTTAAAGTGAGCCCTTGAATCCATTTGTTCATTTTTGTATGCTTTGTTTTTTTATTTAAACAAGTTTGTATTGTGCTTGTTTATCTTTTTCTTTTGTAAAGCATATTGAGTTTATGTTTGTATGAAATATGCTATACAAATAAAACGACAGTAACCTCCCTAAGGTGGCCCTATCTGACACCCTGCTAACATTGCGTGCATTACATTTTTGCTGTGAAATCCAAAGTTTATCAATGAAAGTCAACAAACACGGGACACTGGTTGTCCTGGGGGGACAGGGCCTTCTCCATTGCCGCTCTGGAACTCACTCCCAAACTCCCCCACCTCACTCTACACCTTCAATAACTCCCTAAAAATTTGCCTCTTCACCATCGCCTACAACTACTCAAAAACTCTGTCCTCATCCTCCTTCTCTGACATCATTTCTCTTTTGTTTTGTTGTTATTCTTCATTACCAGTCTTCATGTTAAGCGTCTTTAAGTACTTAGAAAAGCGCTATAAAAGAACAATGCATTACTATCATTTTTATCTTTTTACTTACTAAAAGTGGATTATCTGCTGCATTTTACAAAAACAAACTGACGATTGTAATGAATTTCATCTTTCATATTGATGTTTCTTTCACAATCCCAAATGTTCTGTCTGCATGTTGATATAATCAACAGGAATGTTCTGTGTCAGATGAGCCTGGGCCTTTCATACAATGCTTCCTGAGATTTTACTTGTTTGGCAAAGGCAGTGATATTGAAATGTATAAATCCTCGAAGGTATGTACAGTACATACCTTTTCAATATCAGGTTGCCATAATCCATCAAAAAGGCAAACTACACCATGTTTGACCGCTGGGTGGTACCCATACAAACAGAGGACAGGCTTCATTTTGGTCAGAGCATGACTTATTTTACGTAACAAATCAATGTTCGTTTATTTTTTCTACAGTGGGAGAATCTTTAATTGTTGGTTTGAGAGGGACTGAAATAGACAGAAAATGGAGAGAGACTCGGCTGTGTGTTATCAGGGTGTCCTTGGGCTGCTCCCTCTCTCATTTCCATCTCTGTCTGCTCATCACGTGTGGCAGACTGTTGGGAAAAGGCAGAAACAGAGAGGGAGAGGGAGAGAGACGGAGGGGGAGAGAGAGAGACAGAGGGGGGGGGGAGACAGAGAGAGAGGGGGGGGAGAGACAGAGAGGGGGAATAAATCCCACTGCCTCTCTGTTACAGCTCCTTAATCATTCGACACAGTTTAGCTCCAACAGTGAGTTTTACATCTGCAGAAATTATATTCCCTGTAAGCAGATATTCTTAGTCCATCTTAAACTGATGCCGAACCCCCAAAAAACAGAACATTGAACCCTTTAATGCTGCATTGTTCACAGAAGACAATGTAAACATAGAGTGTGTCCAACAGTTTAAAAACTGAGGTATCTGGATAGATCAGGATTTGTCTTCGGTCACACATGTCATGCTTACCTGGAAAAATAAGGTCTCAACTTGTTTTTATTACATGGACAGATCCTGCCTAACAGGGCCAGACAGATAAAAGCTTGCCCATGCAGGCAGACAGGCGACAGATTTCGAACACATCATTGTGACCTGTATCGATTTTGATGAAGAATTAAGACGGGGAAAAAAGTATTTTACACAGTGGATGATCTAAAACCCTGCTGTGCAGAGATATTCAGCATGCCCTGGCCTCCAAAGTCCCTGGACCTTTAGAAAGTACTTCTGCCTCTAGCAGGGTCTTTTTTAAGGGTAGATCTTTTACCCCTGAACTAAATTTAGACCCTGGTTCCTGCGGTCGAAATGCACATAGTTCCTCAAAAGATCCCTAGTTCAGGGGGGGATAGTTCCTCCAGTCGAAAAAGGGGCTATGGATGTGAGGACAGGCACATGATAACACATTTCTATCCCTGTGTTTAAATTAAAATATGTTCCTGCACATCTGGCCGGCATTGCATTTCCTGGGCTAACTCAGTATGATGCCATCTTTACGCCCAGCTCACAAACTTATACCCAGATTAATTTCTGCAAATCATCTGTATTGTTTCAGTATGACATCAAGCTTTGCACATGCTGACTTTATATATAACCCCTCTACTATAAAATTCAGATTTCATCACTTACGATACGTTGATATCTTTCATTTTCGACTCTCGGTGGTGTTGTCTGAGTTAACCTGATCCCACGCAGGAGTCAGGTATCTTTTGAGGCCATTAACAGTTTTTGTCCTCTACATGATGTATCACCATCACTAATTTATAGTGTTACAGTATTTAAAAAAAATTCCCCATAATTGTTTTATTCCCCCACGCCCAATGACCAGAGGCGGTCTGGTGCTCTCTTACGCTCTTTTATGTCCGAGTCTTTTGAACCCTCTCTTTATCATCGTGACTCAGTGGGCATCCTGTCGTGCGATGGCACGCCCCTGCTCTGTCTGCACAGGACATGGAGCTGCAACTGAAAATGTTGTACCACGCCTCTTACCTCAACTTACCTTAACTTACCTCAGACATAATACACAGGAAGGTTATGTAATGCGAAGAAGCGTTTTGAAACTGACAACATCAGTTAAAAATGTTGGATCAAGTGGAGCTTATTTTATGCATGGAACTCATTCATGTTTCCTTTTTGAATCAACAAATTAAGGATTTAAGAAATAGAAGCAAAGCATTGACGAGAGTCAATGGAGGCCCAGAAACACATCACTAATCAGTGAGTTTAGACCAAACAGCAACCTCTGGTGTTTAAAAATGAAGCCGATTCTGAAGTGTAAAATCCTGCAGTTCGTCGAGTGTTCACTAGAGGCTGGCTGCAGAAGCACAGGAAGTCACATACACACCCATTCTAAAAAGCCTGTTTTCACAGCAGAGATGAACATGTTTACAGCCTGGTACAAAAAACCAAATAGGTCTGATTAGCTCATGTCTCGATCGGCACACACTGTACTGGGGGTGAATGTTTTGATGACTCATCAGTTTTGATTTGATGAAGGATAAGAGTTATTCACAATAAGGCGTGTAGCTGACCTGATAGACAGGCATGCGTGGTGTAATGGTTTGCCAGGAGGCTTAAAACCCGCCTCAGCTCCAGCTCTCAGCCTGTCGTTAGGTTGAATGAAAGTTAGGGTGAGACAGCATTTCCAGCATGGAGACCGCCATCGATGGGACTCCAGCGCCCGCTGCAGGAACAGACGGGTGGCGTTACTCAGGCTTCGCCTGTTAATGTTTACAGTGGGCACTTATTCCTAAACGCTCATTCTTTAAGTGTTGACGTGTTTATTGGCAGAACTGGGTCATTGTTCAACACTTGTGATACAAAATACCTCAAGTCTTCATGACCTATTTAAAAAAACTGTCTTAGACAAAGGCAGAAGGATGTCACCCTGCACTATCTGGGTCATGTTAAAACTAAAGACCCCCGTAACCAGAGATAACAGCGTTGAGATAATGCATTACATAACTCGGTCTCGGACTGGGTGGACTCCACCAATGAAAGGTTATTTTTTCACGTCATTACTGTGATTAGAAAGAAAATGCTTCTTCCTTAAAGAACAAATAACTTCAAAAGTGAGTGACATGCCCCCTGCACACAAGTTGATGACGTTTCACTGATATTTATGGTCTTGGTCTTGTCTCGTTCTTGCCCTGCCTTAGTCTTGGTCTTGTTTTGGTCTTGGAGCACTCAGGTCTTGGGTATGTCTTGGTCTCGATTGGTGTGGTCTTGACTACAACACTACTCGTGGTATCCTGGGGGTTTGGCTAGTTCTTTAAAAAATAGTGCAAACACACTGAAGCAAAAAATATGTTTTCAAGTCAAGACAAGTACCTGCTAAATCTGTTGCTTGCTTTGTTGTGTTGTGTTGTATTTTCTCAGTATCCTTGGGGTTCAGATTAGTGTAATACAATCTCAGTATTTTTGTACTGACCCCCCAGGAAGGAGCCCTGAATTGGTCCTTGAAAAAGTTTGTCAATGGACAGCCTGCACGTTTCTCCACGGTCCGGGAAGGATTAGCATTTGGAAGCAATTTCAGCAACACTTCAGAGAGGCCCCGGGCTTTTCCATCTGAGGACCCATGCAGTTAAAAGAACAGAGGAAAATCTCGAATGTCCTAAATATTACCACAACATGAGCTTCTTTGCAGCTCAATGGAGACTCTTTGGGCAACAAGTAATCAAGTGTGACTGCAGCGAATGATGGAACATGGACGACTTCTCTTTAGGGATGCAAAGTTCAGATCAAGATGTTGGTAATAAAAATGAGATTGTAACAATCCCTACTTTGACTTTTAGGCTAAATTAAACCCATACTGATAACATTTCATGAGACTTAAACAATGTGCAGAAAACCAGTTCATGGTTGGCTTGCCTTGACTTTTCCGTCACTGGTGGATCTAGTATCATTAGTCCGTCGCCAGTTCTTATTTGAACTGTCAGGTTTTAATACCTCTAAAGCTTTCCACAAACTACTGTTTTCATCGTCTGATTAACATAATAATCATAGTAATTGCTTGTCTTTTGCATTTCAGTTGTTGCTGTGTGGGAGAGACCTATCCACACACACACACACACACACACACACACACACACACACACACACACACACACACACTGAAACACACACAGGACCGAGCTGAGCCCCAGCCCTGCGTCCCTCTGCGAGTGTGTGCAGAGATGAGCAAGACCGCACCTTCTGTGAGCGCTACCTGAAACTGGAGATGCAGGGGTACCAGTGAAGGGTTAGCTTTCATCCTCTTTTGTTTTGTCTTTGTTGTTGTTTGACCCCTCCTGCTTCTCTTAGATGGCGCAGACAGGTACAGGGGCGTTAGGATATTAACATAAAATACTGTGGTATTTATTGTTTTACGTAATCTCTGTCACTGGACTCGGGTACTTATAGTCAGGCAGGGTTAAGCAGATGTAAGACCTTAAACCAGGAGCGCGTTAGAGACTTTCCTGCCTCATCTTCTACATCTACTTTCTGAGTTTGTTGTTTGACCTGTGGAATAATTTATCTCCCTATTTGAGCTCTTGGGACATGTTTTGTACTTTTTCTGGGTTGAGGAAGCCAAATTAATTTTTATTCAATTTTTGTTGTTGTGAGTGACGATAAATACTTTCATAACGGGTAAGCATTTTTTAATTAATTGTTTTTTCTTCTATCTTCTATCATATTCATTTCTTAAATACTTCTGTGACATTTCAGTGAATGCTCATGTCTTTAACTCTATTTTTTCTCTGTCATTTAAGTTGCTTTTGCTTCAACTAAACCTTCAAAATAGAGCTCAGAAACAGGGGTCAACGAAGACATTTATGTTTTTATAATTTTTTGTGCATGCCAGACATTTCATTTAAGGTCATACTGTATTATAAATGCTGATGTTTAACGACTGTTTCATCCTTAAATGATGATTATTACTGAACAATGACATCCCCATATTTTCCAAAAATGTGTTTTTAGTCTGTGATTTTTTGAAAACACAAAATAGACTCAGCAGAAAATTGTATATCTCACTAAAGGCTTTGTTTAACAATGCGTCCTTACAAACAGCTTTATATTCTCTGAGTTTCTGTGCTAACTTCTTCGGTGTATCTCAGACATCGAGGGGTATTTTTGCGAGGCCGAGATCTTTCAGCTATTTCTCAGCGCAGGGCAGTGAGAAGGGAGGGGAAGCAGGGCCGACACACAAAAGGCAACATTATTCCCCAGCGGATCTGCGCTACATCCTCGTATGAATGGAGTATTGAAAAACATAACATTGGGGACTAGATTATTTTTCATGCCTCATAACTGAGCCATTTGTCCCGGAGTTTCGAGTGGTTTGTTGGTACAGTGTGCAAATGAGACGGCCATGGTTCTTGAGCTGCTGTGCAGGTGTTAAAATCCCCACCTCCCAATTGGAAGCACAATGACCTCTCTGTGGGCGACTGGCCTTCTGGGCTGCACATTTTGAGACAATGCAACGGCCACTAAGGAAAAGGGCTGGGACAAGATAAACTCAAATTTGAGAGCTTTCCTTCAGCCGCTTTTTTAAAAGTCTTTTGTATCACATAATGACCCCATAAAAGTTGTAAATAACTGTATGTGTGCGGTGCTGTGAGTCAAGATTTGAACATCCACCCTTCACCCCAGTCCCCCCGCGCTCGCTCCAAGGAGACGAGAGGCGCCCCTGCAGTGTCATCAGGTGCCTAAACGTTTTGGAGGGTTCTAGTGACAGATTGCAGGAAGCAGCGTTTATGCCTGACGATGGGGACCACAGAAAGCAGAAATGTCTTTTTGTGCCCCCTGGGCTCGGAATGTCCACTATCTCGAGGGGCCAATATCAAATTCTCCCCTCATCATCCCCAATACACATTCCTGGGTAAGGTCAGGGGGAATTCTGCATCGGCCAAGAGACAAACAACCCGAGGCCAAGACACACACTGAAGGACATTAATCACACTATTTAATTCAATTCATATCTGGGAGGTTTGCTCTGAACAGATACGTGAAGTTTGGATTCAAGCCATTCCAACCGACTGTATTGCTTTTATTTGTTTGCAGAGTTGACGATGTCAAAGCAACATCAATCAGAGTGGTGTTGTATCCGTCTCTCTCTCTCTGCATCTCCCTCTATCCCACTTTCCAAGCCTGACACAGTCTCATCAGATGTCTGGTTCTGTTCGAGGTTTCTGTCTCTTTTATTTTGGGGCTTTTCTTTACTTTATTTTAGAGATGGGACAGTGGATAGAGTCTGAAACCAGGTAGAGAGAGTGGGGAATGACATGCAGGGAAAGGAGCCACATCAGGTCGGCTTGGAGGACTACAGCCTCCGCACATGGGGCGCCAGACTAACCACTAGGCTACCATCGCCCCTAGGTTTCTGCCTCTGAAAGGAAATTTTTCCTCGCCACTGTAACTTTGCTAAATGTTGATCATGGTGGATAAATGTCCAAAGAGTCGGGTCTACTTTTTTTTAGTCCTGCTCCTTTTATAAATTTGTTTTGAATCGGTGATATATGAATAAATATAGATGATACAGAATATCTGCGCTGCCATAGTGACTCTCTTTCTATCTGTGTGATAATCACAGCTTTGCTGATATTCAGTACAATTGTATAACCTCTAACGTGATCATGCTAGTATACAATGTTTTCACAAGCAGCATACACTAGTCCATCCATCCATTATCTACACCACTTTTTCCCAGTTAGGGTCGTGGGGGACTGGACCTATTCCCGGTTGTAATTGGGTGGTAGGGGTTCCCGTGACAGGTCACTAGTCAATCACAGGGCAGACATACAGACACACACTCTCATAATTTATTGATTCATTGGATTTGGCCAATATAGTGAGTTCTGCAGCTGATTGGGTCTTGGCTGTTTCAAAGAAAACATTTTGTCCCAGCAATCTTGTAAAGTGTTAGCACAGAGTCGCTCCTCATCACCTGAGTGTGTGGGTAGTTACTGCTTGATCTAAGGAGCCGTCTTGATCAAACTGTTTGCTGCGTTGTTAATTGAACACAACGTTAATCAATGATACTCCAGATATACCTCTTGAGAGGAAGTGGTAACAGGAGCATCCCCATTCCTCAGCGCTCATGGCAAACCTCACATTCTTGGACTTTGCTGTTGTATAAATACTACAGAAGTATTTGAATCCCGTTGCAGTGTGAGATAAATGTCATTCACTCCAGCTTCTCATTTGAAAAGAATGTAGGGAATCCACCGTCTGACCTCACTATCTTTCTCTGATCATTGAGTGATTGTTGGTGAATCCCCCAATAATCTTTGACAGAAGGAAAATCCCCTTGATTATCAGACCCCATGCCACAGGTGGCTGTCCCCTCCTCTGTAACACAAGAAGTCACCAGCTGTTGGTGGTGCTGGAATGGGAAGGTCCGATAATACTGCAAACAGACTTCAACTTATTTGCTGCTGCCTGAGAGGTGAACAGCGGTCATTTTGTGCTTATAAAACAGCAGTGTAACTGGACTCTCTATTCCTTGTCTGGAACATCTTGTGGGACTCTCACCGAGAATCTGTTACTGGTGTTTATATGCCTCTAACTTCCTAACAGCTCTCCAATGTCCACAGGGAGCGATATGCATCACATGATCCAAGGACATGATTTCTTTTAGAGCCACACACTAGCCGGCCTCATCCCAAGACTACCATCAATACCTACTACAACACATTAACAACAGCTGCAGGCGCCATTAGAAAACAATCCAATACTATAATTAGGCTACTCTGAACCAGGGCAGAAAATAGTGATTGTTTTTTTGTGATAGTAGAAAGCTGTCTGCTACACTCAGGTCTGACCGTATGTGAATGTATGTATTTGTAGGCGGATGGTCAGTCAGGCAACCATGCGAGGACAGCGTGCGGTGGAGAGCGAGTGCAGGTGCTGGAACCCAGCCGTCTGGCTCCTGGTTACCCTGCTGGGATCCCTCGTCTTCGTGGCCCTCAGTTTGCTGCTGCGACTTGGTGAGTGTCCCTCAAAGCTGCCTTCCAAACAGACCACCACTTGCAATTAGGAAAGTGCATTTTGATGGAAATGCTCCTTGTTTTCTAGAGCCTGTATATTATCATCAGTATTTTGATATGGCCCCGTATGAATGTAATGTGAGTGTTACTGTTGCTGTGAGGACAGGCTCAAGTTTAACCCTTTGTAAAAAAAAACAACAACAACAATGCACCCAGAAAATGCATGCTATCTAGTTTTAAAGTCCATCAGACCTGAAGAGAAACATAAATAAATCTCATCTCTCACCTGTGTTTGCTGAAGAGCTTCTGATAATAAATGGACACAGCTTCATTCAGTGTCTTCACCTCTTTAAATTGTAAGCATTTTGGTGGCTAATTGTCATTTAAGAAATAACATTATTATCCTTATTGCTCTGAAACAGTAGCCTGAAGTGGTGGCCACAAATTCATCCATAGTGGTTGTACATGACAACCTTCACGTATGCCTCTACCCTAAACTGGCAAAGAATAAACACTTTTGATAGAACATCTTATCAAAAGCAAACTTTATACTTCCCATAATGGGTAATTTCTATTTCCTGGCTCAGGATCAGAGGCTTGCTTTCATAAAGACTGAAAATTGGTTCCCAGCTTTGCAGAAGCATTCAACACGCTCACATGTTCTTGCCTTTAACCAAATAAAAAAAAAAAAAAAAAACTTTTATTGCACACGATATTACATCTTATGTGTCAGAGCGTATCCACATATTCTGGGCATAATAGTGCTCAGGAACCAGGTGTACCTGCAACTGAGCTCCCTGTAGATGAATGCTTTTGTGTCCACTGTTACTGTCTGGTCTGTTTTACAAGCCCTGCAGGCATTTTGTTGAGAGCAGCAATCAATGGGCCTCACTGGACGTTAATGAGCCACAAATAAAGAGGAAGCATGTTTATTCAAATGTGATGACATTAGTAAATAGGTTCTGTCTCTTGATAAAGCCAATGAATGTGTCCCTTAATAGCTTTTTCTTTTTGCATTTGTCTTTCAGGAGACGTAAAAATAAGCAGACGAGCTGTATCCAGTAAGTAATCCGCCAAAACACATGATCTGACCCAAGATGTACCCTGCACATGATATCATAAACAGATGTGTTACAGACCCTTTGACCTAAAATAAGAAGTTGTATGTGTAATGTACATGTTTCTTTGTCTCAGACAAATGGGAGAAGCCTGTGAATTGACCCATATTGGGTGTGATGTTAGGAACAGTCCCTGGGGTGTTGAAACCTGAGACGTATTTCTTCAGGTGTTAGACTGACCTCCATACAAGTCCAGAATCTTCCAGTATGGGAAAACTATGTGTTGCGTCAAAACATCCGAGAAATGTGACAAAGATGAAAGCTCAGATATGTATGGTGACTTTGTTTTACAAATCCATCACCACCTTGGTTTTTGTGAGCCAGAAGTGAAAACATTTGGACAAGAGGCTGGATATTAATTTTTCTTTCTTTTTTTAGATGACATCATTGTAGCAACTTGTCAGTTACCGGTAGCCACTGTATTTGACTCTAAATTTGACTTTAAAGGTCCAAACAGTAAGATATCTACTGAATGAAATGATACAGTGACCTTACTATATGATCAGACATTAAGGAAACATGCTATGTTGAAGTGCTGGCTTCTCTGACAACAATGCAGCAGCCAGTATGTCCTCCTTCTAACTTTAGATTCTGGTCCTGAATGCTCTGGATTTGTTTGGACCAGAGAAGGTAGGCGGTTTTAGGGCACCAACACACGGCCTTTTGGACGCCCCACAGTTCTCCAGATATGAGAGCAGTTATCAGGTCAAACCAACAGGTGTTGCAGTGATGGAAGCGGGCAAGAGAAGTGGTTCAGATAGAAGTGATTGTACCTGACCTAAAAAGGCTCTGCATGTTTCTAATAAACTCCATGAGCAGAAACGTGCTCAAACTAGGATAAATATTGGAGATGCTTTTGAAAAATGCAGAGAGTTTAGAACGCAGAAAGATTTACAGACTGATGCAGAGCTGGCTAAACACTGAAGCTTCAGTGTCCACCACATGGCATCGACTCTAGAGAAGAGGGAGCGGGGGGAGACAGTTCTCTAATGTTTTGAAGATCCTGTGGGAAACGAAGTATCACATATGACAAACTACAAACTTATGTCTTAGTGGGGTTCTCTAAAGTCAGGGGATCTTTCAATTCTGTAAGCATGGCTTAAAACCAGTAAGTATTAAGATAACACATCTTGTTTTACCTGCACTAAATGGTCTGAACATTCCGTCTGTTGTGGTTTCAGTCTGTGTCTCGTGTTACAGGAACATAGATAAAGTAGATATTTAGTAACTATCGAAGGCTAAATCTCCTTTAAATAATTGTTATCATAACTCTTTATCTCTCTCTGTCTCCTTTCTGTGCTGTAGCAGCCACTGATGTACAACCCCTGTGAAGACACAATACCAAGGTAAGCATAAGCTAAACACCTACCTCCACCTCCTACCCCCCCACAACACTCATGTTAAGAAAAACATGTCTGTATTCAGGCCATGGCAAGAAAACCTATCAGTTGCTGGCTGTGTGTCACTGAAAGAGAGTACAGAAGGTAGATCATTGCCTGGAGCGCTTTAAAACAAGGTCACTTTCCCAGCTCTCCTTTTTCCTAATCCCCAATTATTTGCTATGTTCCAGAGAGTCATGTGGCTTATTGTGTCCAGAGGGATTTTTTTCCACTTGCTATTAACTGTCATTATATCAATCTTTCTTCTACTTTCCTCATAGAAAAATGTTGTTATATATTCCTCAGACAGTGGAGCTTAAATGAGCTTCAGACTTTCTGTATTGGTACTGTCCTTAAAAAAATTTAAATACAGGGAGCTAAAGTATGGCATTAGTTCTCCTTAGCTTGACTGTCTTGTTGGCGTCCCACAAGGCTCTATTCTTGGATGAATTCTATTCTCATTATGCATGAATGAGTAAGCCTAACGCATGTCAAAAAGATCAATACTCAAGAGTATGCAGATGATACAGTGATATCACCTGGTGCAAATATACGTAGAGCTAGCCTCTTCAGTTCTTACATCTGCAATGAGCCATGTTCAGGACAGGTTAGCTTAGCAATGTCTTTATGATACCAGATATCACAAAAAGTGCGTTGTTTACAAATCAACCAGAAGAAAGCCTGCATTCAAACATGAGATGAATGGGGCAAGAAAAACTCTTTTGCCACCTGCCAATTCACACAATACACAACAAATACATAAATAACAAATACATTTAAAAGCATTTGAGACATAATTTACAGCAATGAAGCAGAGCCATGGGTAGACATGTTTATTTAAATATTGTACTGCTGCTTGAACAAAGGAGCCCCTGAGTTGTTCAGAAGAACACAGACATCCCTAGTCGCTCAATGAAGGAGCATCACTGGACATCAATAGCCACTCACTGAAGGAGCATCACTGAGGCATCACTATTCGCTCACTGAAGGGCCTTCAGAGTGAATTAAAAACATTGTGCAAAGGATTTCCTTTAAAGATTAGAACCGTTTGGTCCTCCTTCTCTTTTCTCAAAGGTAACCTCATCTTCTTGTTCTTTCTGCTGTTTTTATTTTCCCCTGCACCTGTGATGTGCATATAACCAGCCCTTTTCTTAACTCCTACTTGTTCTCATGCTGTATTGGCACACTGATGTTCGGTAATGTGACCTGTGACCCAGGGGCGTGTCCAGACTTTTTTGACTGTGGTGGCCACACTGGGGCACTGATTTAATCCAGGGTGGCCTGAAGTGTGATGTGCACACAAACACACACGAATACATATGAATTTATAACCTTAAAATTATTTAAAATTTGCACTGTTTAATTGCAACAAAACATAGTAGTATTTAATAAGACAGAGTGCATTACTTAGCCAGACTTATGAAATAGACATTGATATGTCAAGAAAAATACTCACAGCCCCGCAAAAAACCTATTAGTTGATTGTCACACAAGTCCTGCTTCTGACAGGGCAAATAGCCAATCACTGTTTAGGATCTTTTGGGTAGCACCTTTGGTGGCCGATCAGATTTCTAGGGTGGTCCACGCAACCCATCTGGACACACCCCTGTTGTTCCTATCAATTAAACTGTTAAACACAAACATTGCTTTACTGAGATAGCAGTCATAATTTAAGAACCTGAACATTCCACTTAAAAAGAATGAACAATGCTGTGGTTGAACTGACTGAGAGCAGACTCTGACTGATGCTGTCTGCTTATCTTTCCAAAGTACAACTGATGAATGGACGCAACAGGTGTGAGGGCAGAGTGGAGGTGCGCCACAACGACTCTTGGGGCACGGTGTGCGATGATGAGTGGGACATGGTTGATGCCAATGTGGTGTGTCAGCAGCTGGACTGTGGCGTGGCGGTGGCAGTGGGCAGCAGCTCAAAGTTTGGACAAGGCTCAGGACCCATCGTGCTGGATAATGTGGATTGCTCAGGGAGTGAAACTGACCTCAGCCAGTGCCGAAGTCTGGGCTGGGGCATCCACAACTGCTACCACTATGAGGACGTCGGTGTTACCTGCAGAGGTAAAGCAATTTATGCAACTGTTAGCTGAGTGAGATAATGACCAATCATTCCTCGTGTTATACCCTGCAATCAAAAAAGAACACAGTGAGTAATATTCCTGTTTCCTTTTCATTTTTCTGCCAGAACCAGCCGTGCCGGGGGCAAAGGGTTTTGAGGATCGCACCACACCTCCCGGAGAGAACACTGCCTTACGTAAGTGTTCCCTGGTTTTGTCTATGAGACCAGGCGACAGACAAACAAACACTCCAGTGGGATTCATTTATCCTCTTCAACAAAGCTCTTGTAGCATCTTTTAGCACTTTAGGTTTCTTTTTCCTCTCATCCCTCATTTTCAGTTTTAAGCTCAAAATCCCCAATATACCCATCACACACAATGCAGAGACAAAGTTAGCGACTAGCTGGTGAAAGTATTCTTCAGGCATTCATGGTTATTCTATGTAGTGTTGCAAAACTTTCACCAAATGTGACGCAACATCAAAGGTTTGTTTTGTAATACCGAGGATGGTATCTGTGGACATCTTCAGGTTCACTAGGACTCAAAGCCGCCCCCTTTTGTCTGCTGGGTCCACCTTTGTTGTGGCCTCCCTTGTGTCTTTTTTTGTCTACATTAATTCCCGAGAGGATCATGAGAAACTTCAACACAATCCCATTTATTTAACCTGTGACGTGTGAAGCTAGTCCACCTGAGGCCTCCTGAGGCTTGGGGCCTTTCAGGAGAAGAGTATTTTTAAATCATGGACACATAAGAACGTCCTTTGCGTCAATGAAGGGTGTGTTTTTGTCTGGACCAATGCATAACATCACAACATCTGTGCTTAGGCCAAAATCAGACCCCTTAACTGTTTTTATCTTGAGTCACTATTTGTATCGTTTAGGCAAAAGTTTTTATCGTTAACAGAAATAAAATGTCAAAAACATGTTTACTGAAACTACAATAATAATGAGGCTTTACAAAACAAAAGAACCAACTGAAACTGTTTTGTGTGTTTACAGATTGAAGTTAAATCAAATAAAATTACAGAGAAAAACCCTGGTCGAGGCCCACTCCAATTTCCTTTCTCTGTATCGACGTACATTGACTTTTCCCCTCAGTCTCACACAGTCATGCATTAAAATTAGCACTTATTAAAACTGTCTGGTAACCCCAAACCATCAAATCTTAAATGAAACATCAATAAAGAACAAAACCTTCAGAGTCTATAAACAAAAAGTTCAGAGATGTATTCAACATCAGTTGCTGTAACTTCCTCTCGCTCTCCCTCTTGGTTTAGGAGATGGCAACATTCGTCTAATGAACGGACAGAACTCCTGCCAGGGCCGTGTAGAGATCTACTTCAAGGGGAAATGGGGGACGGTGTGTGACGATGTGTGGCACATTGAGAACGCCATGGTGGTGTGCCAACAGCTAGGCTGCGGCGGTGCCATCTCTGCGCACACAAATTCCTACTTTGGCTTTGGCACCGGCCTGATTCTCTTGGACAACGTGAGGTGCAATGGAAATGAGGCGGACCTGTACTCTTGCAACAACCTCGGCTGGGGCAAACACAACTGTGGCCACCATGAAGACGCTGGGGTCACCTGCGCAGGTATGCTTATCTCAGTCAGCTTTGCTGGATCTGCAGCTCAAAAACCTCCTTATTTATCTGATACTGGCGTCAGTAAAAACCCTCAATTCAGCCTCTGCCTGAAATGGCTTGTTTCAGCTGCTTCCTCTTTAAGGCCCCCCTCCCAACGTGCCCACTTTCTTCTGATTGGTCGGCTCTCTGAGGCTGCTCTCCAGTGCTGGGGGAAGAGGTTTCACCAGTTAACGTAGAGGCTTTGAGCCGCCTCTTGAAATTCTTGGTTTCATTGGCAATTTGCAGAACAAGCTGGTTAGCGCCCTCTGCAGAATTAACCTGGGATTACTCCAACAAACATTTACCTCATGGTCTGAAACTTTGCCCTAGTTTAATTTTGACATCCAGCAAAGATAAACTATATGTGAGTTTTAACAATTTTGATCATCAGAATAGGTCAGCTTTAACTTTAACCTTACGCATGGCTGAGACCAAAGAGAATGTCATTGATTGCAAAGCATCTGAGCTCAATAGGTGATGTTCACAAAACTGTACAAAATCACGCTGAACCAGACAATAGTAGCTCGCTATTTCAGTCAGAACCGAAGTGGTGCGTTAGCTAACAGAGTAGCATTACCATCCAAAGAACCCTTATGAACACCATTTACTATCGTGGCTCTTCTTTACTGTGAACTTGTTTTTTACTTCTGTCAATATTCAATATTCAGTTATTCCCAATGCACACCATTTCTCATTGCTAGCAAACAAGATACATTTTGTGAGAGGACTTCCTGGTTTTTGTTAGGCTTAATCTACGTCGTGTGTCGATGTAACAAATTTGGAAGTTACATGTTGCATTGTCACTTTTAATTGCTTCCTCTTTAAAGGCCACTTACTAGTTTCTTCGGTTTGGGACGTGTCACACTGAATTATTTTCATCTGCCAAAGGGGATGGGAGAAAAAGTTTAGTTTTTCTAATTGAAGAATATGTCAGGGAGTAATCTTGGGGCATAGATAAGTTATGCCAAATATATTTCATTTATTTTGGTGGAAACAAAAAAAGGGCAATGAAAGAGATTGTTATGAAAGAGATTGTTATGAAAGTAGTATGATGTCTGTTGGTCACAAGTATCGTTAGTTCTAGTAAAAAGATGAATTGTGGATGTTGTCCTCTATATTAATTAAAATGTTGTGCTCTAACGTCTCCCTCTTTAGAAGTCTCCACTGTACCTCCTCCAGTCACAGAACTCCAGAGAGGAATCCGTGTAACAGTCAACACTGAAGGTAAACAAACAAAATAAAACAGATCATCTGTAAGAGAACACACACTGACTTTTACCTCTTGGATAAGATGGGTTTTATTCCATTTGATAAATTGAATGTGTAACTCTGCCAAATGACCACCAGGGAGAGACATTTTCCCCAATTAAAAAAAGGGATTTATGAGAAAATATGCTTGTCTGCATCCTCACAAGAAGATCATCCTAACAAGGTAGTCTGAGGCATCAAGTCACTTTGTCCTGTGATCATTTTCTGTCCAGCGACGGAGGAAATTCCAGTCACTGATTCACCGACTACAACTACCGTGACAACAACTGCTCAGACAAAAGGTACAACAGTTCAACTGCTGCTTAAAAACAAATACAGTTATTTTAAATATCTGACTTTTAAGCGATGGAGTTTGTTTTCCCTTGTGCAGGCAGACCATCCATCCGTCTGGTGGACAGTAACAGCAGCTGCCAGGGCCGTGTGGAGGTCTTATTTCGAGGCCGGTGGGGGACAGTGTGTGATGACGGCTGGGACATGGACAACGCCAACGTGGTGTGCAGGATCCTTGGCTGTGGCCCGGCTATAACGGCCACAGACAAGGCCTACTTCGGCTATGGTCAAGGCCCGATCCTGCTTGACAATGTGCAGTGCAACGGCAACGAATGGGATCTGTCTCTGTGCTCACACCTGGGCTGGGGTCAGCACAACTGTGGCCATCACGAGGATGCCGGAGTGATATGTCTACGTAAGTCCTGATGGGATCACTCGTACAGCACGGCGGGCAAAAGCAGGTTTAACTAGGGACACATTCTTATTTAGCAGAAACGCTACACTGGGAGGTTTCATTTCTCTCCAGCTCTCGACACAGGTTCAGGAAAGCCCCTTGAGCATGCCGCTGTAGTATCCATGCTTTCCTCCAATAGTGTGGTTTCTCCTCATTTGTCGCCTCCGTCTCTTCTTTTCTTTTCACACTAAAAGACCGAGGGCTGACAACGCCAGCGCCATTTTCAACTTTTTATCAGACATTATGCTGGATTTGTAGGCGACCTATAATACGAGTGGTGACCGAAGTGGTGTGAAAAAGGTCTTCTGGTATCAGAGAAACGGTCTACCACCACCTGCTGTCATGGAGAGTTATTTCATCTCACGCGTGTGCAGAACATACGTGGTGGTTGATCGTCAGCTGTAGTCTTGTGCAACTTTTTGGCCAAGACATAAGGCGTCATGAGGTGACGCCACAGGCGTCCTTCATCATCTCTAGTTCTTTGCCGTCTGCTTGGTGTGTGAAAGAAACAGAGTGAAAGTAACAATTCACGACAAGTTGCTCTTGAAAAAATGTTGCAGGAAGTGTATCTCTGTTTTGTGGCCTTAAAGAAGCTGAACCTGATATTTACTGAATATGTCCAGAAACCACCAGAAGCATCACTCCTTTGTTCTTCTCTCCTCTGCCTTTCTCAGCTTTTGAATTCTACATCGGATACGGACGTGATTTCAAAGTAACGGAAAGGATACCCACAACCACCACAACCATCGTACCACCCTCTGAAGGTAGCTTAAATACATACAGCACAAATCCACCTCTGTGTGTCAGTAAGGACTAAGAATCAGTATTTTAGTGATTCTTTTTGTTTTTACAGGAACGGTGCGACTGGTGGACGGCCAGCACCACTGCGAGGGCCGGGTGGAGATGTTCTCCAATTCTGAATGGGGTACGGTATGTGATGATGCTTGGGACCTCCCTGACGCCAAGGTGGTGTGTCGCCAGATGGGCTGCGGAGATGCCGCCGCAGCTCGGGGGGAGGCGTTCTTCGGACCTGGTACGGGAACAATCCTGCTGGACAATCTGAAGTGCAGCGGTGAGGAGGCCTCGCTGAAGGACTGCTCCCATATATCCTGGAAAATGCACAACTGTGACCACACCGAGGATGCCGGCGTCACCTGCTCACTGTCGTGATTTCAGCAGAAACACACTCCCATCTCCACTTTTGGGGAAGTGGGCGTGCAAATAGGACTTGTATACAATATGTAAATATCAGCTTTAAGTGCTAAAGAATTACCTCACCACCAACAACATACAAAATAACTAATATGACAATATAGGATTTCATACGATTAATTATCTATGCCTATTAAGCACTTTATAAGTAAATATATGATTTAAAAACAGTTTTTATTTGGTAATTTGACGAGAAAACGACATTTTGAACTTTCTATATCACCTGTTTTCAGCCCCAAAATGTTAAAAAATATTTAATGTTTGTGATTCTCTGATGACACAGGAAGCTTTACCGGAGAAGAAATTTGACTTTTCTTTAGGATTAAAACAGAAACATTGAGAAAAATTAAACCCACAAATCAAAAGACATTAGCACTAAATATGTTTTAATCCTGTGAATATACGGTATATTGTGTTCTACATATAAGTGACGTGCTACCATGTTCTGTAAACCATCTGGAAAATAAATGTAACTTATAATCTTTTACATGTGACAAAATAAATGTTTGTATATTTTGATACCACTGTTCTGGTTTAAAATAGCAGAAGTTAAATCAGAGTCTGCCCTCTTCACGATACCAAACATGTAAAAACGTATTTTCTGATGCATCCTGGGAGATAGAATCAGAACAGAGCTGTGCTGTGGATTTAACGGACTATAAATGTTATGACTTAGGAAACATTTTGTATTTTGGTGCAGTGTCTATGACTGACCACCAGAGGGAGCCTGAATCTTGTCAGTGCTGTCACTGATTTCAGAGCAGGAAGTTTTTGTCAGGCTGCATGGTGCTGCAGTAGTTAGCACTGTTGACTTACAACGAGGAGGTTCCTGGTTTGAATCCCCTTCTGACAGGGGTCTCTCTGTGTGGAGTTTGCATGTTCTCCCCGTGCATGTGTGGGTTCTCTCCAGGTACTTCGTCTTCCTCCCACAGTCCAAAGACATGCTCGTTAGGTTAACTGGTGACTCTAAATAGCCCGTAGGTGTAAATGTGAGTGTGGCTGGTTGTCTCTCTCTATATGTCAACCCTGTGATTGGCAGGTGACCAGGGTGTAACCCCGCCTCTCACCCGCAACCCTGAATGAGAAAAAGTGATATAGATGATGGCTGGATGGAAGTGTTTTGTTATTCCTACTGGATAGAAGTGGTTTACACTCCAGTAAAATACTTTAAGCTAAGGTTAAAATCGTAATTTTGTCTGATGATGCATTAAAAATCCAATGAGATATTGAACCCTTTGGATAAATACATTCCAGACAGACACAACACGAACACCTCTTCATTCTTTTAGCTCTTTATTTCGAACTTTTGATGAACAATTTTGTTACAAAAAAAGTATTTTTTGTTGATACCAATTATTCTCTGGATGTCCGTTATACATAAGAACATGTAGATAAAATTAAATAAAGGTTAGTCCAAGTGAACAAAACTGGGAGCAAACTTAACAGCTGATACGACAACGATTAGATAATATGTGAAAACAGGACAGAGTGAAATGTTCTTCTGAATGTGTCGACTTGAACACAACACACGTTTACGCACCATCATGGACAACAAGAACTCTGATCATAACAGGGTTCAGATAAATGAATATATGTAATGTAGTGGCTCTTTGTTCGTCAAAACGTGCAGCATCATCATGCAAGTGAAAGGGACTGGGCCTTAAAGTGGGAGGGGCTTCTATTAGAAGTTTTACGGTATACTGTGTAGATGTAAGAGAACTTTAAGTGGGCTTTATGTGGGAACAGATAACACTTAGAGGTTTAATAGATACTGACATCTTCAATTACTATCTGGTGATAAAGGGAATAACACTTTTCTTTATATTGTAGCTACTCAGTGATTATGCAGTTATCATGCTTTTCAATGAAACATAGAAATCTATCAGCATGTGATTTGACAAATGCAAAAAAAAGAGTGATGTGTAGAGATAGAAAAACTATTTACATGTTTGGCAGGGACACAAATTAAGCGATAGAACTTCAGTTATGTGGAGTGGTGGAGTTTAAAGAACTTGCAAAAAAAAGAAAATATATATATATATATATATGTATGTATATATATATCCTTTATATATCCAGGAAGTGTTGCTGTAAGTTGTGAGAAAGTGTAGGTGGGGGGGGGGGAGGACGAGAGAGCTCAAGTTTCAGTGTTCACTTGATGTTGCAGATCTTGACGGAGGTTCCCACTCCGAAGCCTGGAAAAAGAGT